GCACAGCATAACGATGATCTCACTCTTGTGCTCCCACACCATTCTCCAGAAGTCGACAGTTGTCGTGTCCATAGGCGCTTGCGTGCAGATGAACTTCTCAGGGTGCGTGAAGCCATCGATGTAACTGGCATTAATGTAGTCTCTGGAGCTATTTTCTGATAGAATCACGCGGCTGTGGTCGAAACATAGTTTGTCTCCGTATCTATCCTTTCCCAGATTTTCAGCAGATGTAGATGCAATGAACGATCCTGGAGTTTTCATTCGCATCAATTTATCGTGTTCCTCGCTGAGAATTTCACACGCACTTTTTTTGTTGATTAATTTAATTACGCCCGTTCGGCTTAGTGTTTTAGAGTTTTGAGAACCCATTTTAGTTATAACTGTTAGTGCAAAATTATTTGGTTTAATTTTTCACTGAGTAAACAGCAGCGTGATGATAATTAGTACAAACCGTAAAGTACTGAAGTATGGATTTCTATGGTTTAGTATTTATAGTATTCCTATTTTCCTATTTACATGTGACGTATATCATTAATTGAATAAGCAAGATAAGGCTAATAATGGAACAAATATTTTAAATAAATGATACATTTTAGGTTGTTTCAGATTGACGTCATGGAAAAACCGAAGATTGATTAATATTAAAACAATTCAATAATTGACCATTGAAAAACAAGCCTTTGTTTTGACTTGCACATCGTCTAGACTATAAGTTACTCATGGTCTTAAGCATTAACACTTAAACTGACTCACTAATTAATATTATTGTACGCATGACGGCGCAGTCAGTGTAACGGATAGCATTGTTGTGGTTACACGTCTGCTTGGATCTTCGTCTCAAGTCCGCAGTTTGTTTTCTGCAATAATGGCGACCAGTCTTTCAAAAGTTTATGGAATTGGTGAATATATGCAACGAGCTACTGACCCTCAGTACGTGGATATGATTTCTCAAAAGTTTGGCACTATCATGAGTGTATCAATAAACGGATCTTGCACCAGCTTTCAGAAGACTAAGAACAAGAAAAGGAATCGCTACTCGGACGTCCCATGTTGGGACGTCTCCCGTGTGGTTTTGTATAAAACCTACGATGGGTCGGACTACATCAATGCCAGCTACATGGCTGGATATGATAACAGTAAAAAATTCATAGCGACGCAAGAACCGATGCCAATCACATTCAACGATTTCTGGCACATGGTTTGGCAAGAGGACTCCCGCATTATTGTGATGCTGAATGGCGCCGAGAAAAAGTTACAGGCAGAGTGTATTCAGTATTTCGCTCCTAATCAAGATAACACGATATTAAAAGAGTTTATAATCAAGGAAGGGGACATTAAACTGGAGCAGGATTACAGCGAGAGAATTTTACATGTTACTTATATACACACTGGAGAAATAAGGACAATTCACCATTTCAAGCACTTGGACTGGCCAGAATCCGGCGATCCAAACACTAGAGCATTTATTAACTTCCTGACAGTCGTCAATAAAACGTACCAAAATTTCTTCGTCGAAGCATTGACAAATCACCAACCTCTGCCAGGTCCAATTGTTGTCCACAGTGACGCTGGTGTTGGAAGAACTGGAGGCTTCATTGCCGCAGATATCTGCTTGTATCGTCTAATTTATTCAGCATCAGTATCAGTACCATCAGTAGTTTTGAAGATCAGACAGCAAAGAAATTGTAGCATCCTATCTTTAAACCAATATATTTTTATTAATAACATTTTACTTTACTTTCTGTTTCACATTCGATCACATGTTGAGTCATTTTTGGAATTACATTCCCACTTTACTACAAAGGATGCATATATATTATTAAGTTATCTCATAAAATCACCGACGTAAGTTTAGTAAATAAAGAAACTATTAGTCTTTATCAGTTTTTTATTTATTTTAAGCTTACCCTTAACAGATTGACGTATTTTATTTAGCCTAATATTTTTGTGGTCGTTATGAGCATAACATCATAAAACTAGTTAGTTGCAATTGGTCTCAGTAACATACATACTGTTTATGTTATTCCACATATTTATAACGTTATCGTTTAACCACAATAGGAAAACAAGAGTATTTAATGAAACTGCAAATGCGCTGATCATAACACCTAGGCATTGTAGTACAAGGGAAAACTAAACGGTCGCGCTAGTTAAAATATTATCCGAATAACTGTTAAAGAATTTGGCAATTACATATACATATTAGCTATTCCCGAAATCATTTAGAGGGAAATACAACCATTTTACATTTCTACGAAAAGAATCAGTAATGCTCTGTTCATTATTGTAATTTATTGTTTCATAAATTTAAACCATAGGAAGATCGATTAGTTTATTATGAGAAATATCCGAGAATCGTCTTCACGGTAATTCCGGCGACGTGCCGTCTTTCTGGATAACTCTTAAAATATCCCCTCAGACAAAGCTTACTTTAAGACCACGAAGTCATGCATTTTCAGTTGAACAGCTTCGATCACCGCGATAACACGCACCTGACAAACTTTAAGAACATGGCTATGCAGAGCATCCATCAGTTTTGGAAACGGAAAGACCATATCGGTTTCATCGACATTATGAAACATGAGCATTCGTTCATAAACAACTCGTCCTTGCCCCAGGAGAATCTTCAGAAGAAGAGGACCTGAACACGGCGCCGTCAATCGATCATAGAGAGCTACGGATTCGACACATTTTCAACGAGCCATATCGACGGATGTGAGACGAAAGGAAAGTTTATGGTTGTAGACAACTCAGCTCCCGAAGTTGATTCCTACAATTTTTGGACTTCAATATGGGAAAGCAATTGCCAAGTGATCGTGAGACTTGACAAGAATCACTCGACAAAGCATCATTGGCTGAATAACGAAAAAATCTCTGAGTACACTGTAGGCGAATTCCTCATTTGGAAAAGGACTATCATAGATAAATATTACACACAGCTGATATTGACAGTGAAAAACAAAGCGGTTAGAAAGTCAAGGAAGATCACGCACTACCAGTACTATGGCTTCACAGAGCGTAACAAACCATTCGACTCTGCCCAACTCATATTTTTTCTGAGGATGGTCAACAAAGAACAAGAAAGTTACAGAAGAATGGCATCGAATAGCAAGAAAAGTTCAGTAGGGCCCATAGTGATCCAAAGTATCGACTGCTTCGAAAGAGCCATATCAGTATGTGCTCTGGACATCTGCTTGGACCAGCTAACGAAGGCGGAATCAGTTTCGGTACCTAGTGCACTATTGAAGATAAGAAACCAAGTGTCATTCGAGTCTTTCAGCTTAGACGAATACACATTTATCAACACGACCTTGCTACATAGTCAATGGGCTTTGGACTCTGAAGGGAAAAAACCTGATCATCACGATTCCGAAATCACTTTATTCAGAAGAAGGATGAAGAAGTATATGATGGCTTTCAAGCGAGTGTCTGTGTTCTAAGTGCTCGGTGTTAGATATATAGTAAGGTTGGAACTTGCTAGTGTTAGTCAATAAGACTCTTTAGTGTAAGTGTTTTCATATGTGAGAGTTATTTGTATATATAAGGAATCTAATTAGGCTTAGAAGTATGAAATAAAGTAATGTTTTTTTGTAACTATGTATGTTTAATATTTATTTCTACTTGCAACCCTGTCAAATTAAACCATACTGTAAATATTGTGTCATCACGGGGTAGTAGAGTGTTTCTTATACCGCTGACACTTAATGACTCATCTTAGATGACAACGTGATCTTGTATGACAATAGTTAAAGTATGGTTGATGCCTAACGAGCTTGGTACGACACTCTTTGTAGAAACAGAGGCTAATCGTACGAAGAAATAAATAAATTTAATAACCTAAATGTTTTGAGCATTAATATTACGATGTTCAATTTTTAATGACTACCTAAAACATTATTATAAATATAATGACTAACTAATCATGGAACAATGTTATAAGCAGTTCGACCTCAAAACAAAATACCTAACCAAAGTTGTTCATGAGTGATGACGTAAGTTCACGGCCGATTGAGTCAACAAGTGCCTAACACTAATGTAATCTATTACACCCCAAAGGAAGGGTTGGACATTCTAACCTGCGAGTAAAATAGCCTCCCGAGCCAAAAGTTTCTAGAACTGAGCGTGGCAATGAAGTATTATATTTTCACTACTAGGCGACCACATTTCCCACGTCACGAAGCGCTGTATGATACGTGCCGCTGGACATGTTGAAGAGTATTTGTTTGTAAGGGTGCAATTCCGCCAAATTTTTGAGTGTCAAGTAACACACCCTTATTTAACCCTTTAATGATTCTGGGCGTTTCCCCCACTTTGCGCCCTGTCAAGCTGGCGGCCTGTATCTGTGGTAGTGTGTATCCGTGAGCTTGAGCGAGCAGTGCTGTACCTACTATAAGGTACGCTAAATTAAAAATAAGAATTAAAAAAAAATGATTTGAAATATATAGTTTAAAAATGTTTAAGTTTTTTTATTATTATTTCATATTTCACATAAAAAACTTTTTTTTAAATAAAATTATTTGAGGTTATTGATATAAAGATAAAGGAAAACAATGAAGGGACACCGACGAAACCAAACAGACAAATCAAACTCGGTAATGACCGAGCCTGACATTCGTAAAATATGGTAGTGGGGACTGTTAGCGCATGTCATAGGCTTTCCCCACTCTAGCGCCGTGGGTACGACTTATTCAGACTTCGCCGTTAAAGGGTTAATATACGCGCAAAAATGATTATTAAAGAAATCAAAGTTCAGAGTTGAATAGTCTTACGAATAAGATTCCAGGATCAAGCCGGTTAGTTTGGCAAAAATATCTACTAAAATATAGTACTTATGTCTTGGTACAAGACTTGCAATTTGATACTGTTTACCTGCAGCAAGATGCACATTCAAATGAAGACACAGATGATTTGTGAACTTGCGACCAGGATTGCGCAATATTTTCAAATTATTGTAGTATAAAATATTAAAGCGAACGACTATTTGGCATCAAAGTCTCAACGCGCCAGTGGTGCAATTGGTTAGCGCGCGGTACTTATGAGTCAGTAATACGTGAGTTCGAGTCTCACCTGGAGTATTCTTGTTGTATTTATTTTTTTAGGTTTTACATTCTGCACTATACTTATGCTTTTGGTTAAAATATGATGATGATTAGCCAGCATCGTGGCCGAACGGTCTAAGGATAATGACTTAGTCCTTTCGGACAAGGTTGCTGGTGAAGGCGAGGGATCGAATCCCAGTGATTGTTGAATTTTTCATCGGTCCCTGGAATTCGCTCCATTAGCCGACCGTACTGGTTTAGGTTTGTCTGTGGTTTCCTAAGTCGCTATGCTAAGGGGCGGGGCACAGGGCGAATGCAGTACAGTAATTAAAGATGATACAGTATTTTAAAACCTCAATGGGTGATACAATTAAAACACGTATCTATAATTCTGAGTTCCAAGTAACAAGCCCCTACTTAATCTAAGCACAGAAAGTTATTATTGAAAAAATCAGAGTTCGGGATTAAATAGTCTTACAAATAACAGTCTAGGATCAAGTCGGTTAGTTTGGTAGAAACAAATATTAAAATATAACACCTATGTTTTGATAGAAGACTTGCAGTTTGATACTGTTTACCTTTAGAAATGTTTTTTTAAGCTTTGCATTCCCTATTGTGGTTAAAATATAGTGGCAATCTTGTATGCCAAGTAATTAATCCTTACTCACTGTACTCATAGGAAGTTACTACTAAAGAACTCTAGTAATTGCAGGTAAGGATCTAAGAGTTAAGTCGGCAGCACCTTTTTCGGCCCAAATAATCTAAATAACTGTAGGTTTCAATATCTTTTTATTATTTCATCCATTGAGTATAAAAAACGTAGATGTAGGGATGTCTTCACCAATTAGAGGATTTAACCAAACATTAGATTCAGATAACCTTTTGGGGAAAATTGTAGTCTTAACTCCGCCGGAATACTCTAAATAATTTTAGCTAATAATAGTTTATAAACATCTGCCGATTGAGGAGAATAAAAATAAGAGATAACCTTTATCATGCCCCAGCGCTGGGAAAACCCAAACGGCGATGTCGGGAAATAAACATCTGACATAAGTGCGCAATATTCGGCGAATGCGAGGATTGATAACAAATCACATTTTAGGCGTTGCAAGCACTCTTGAATCAGAAAGTTTAGGTTTCACGTTCACACGCAATTCTGCACATTTAAAAAAAGTTTTCAAATTTGTGGTTTTTTTGCGTTTAAAGATTTAACTTTGGACCTGGAGAAGGCCCCTGTATACACATCACCTTGCAAAGAAATGACAGAATAATAAACACAAAACCATCTTATTACTATAATTAGAAAAAAACACCTTTCATTAGATCTTAAAATGTCCCAGTTCAATATAACTGGCCTAATTGTCTTCCTTCGTGGCATCCTACGTTGCTATGGCAACCATCGGCTGCACTGCGCCGGCATGCCCTTGCGTCTGCTCTGTGCCTGGTCGCTCCAGTGACCGGGCACTAGCCAGTAGAGTACACAACCCTGCTGCGGGCGAAGCAGGTTATGGCCGGACAAACTGTCTTAGGGCTGGGGTTATGTCACACATCAATTCTATCAAGTGGCAACTTGATGTAGGCGCGAGCGCTTGGCGTAGACGTCGTCGTCATGTTGGCATCTTCGACTTGGCACTCGGGCGAGACAGTAGTGCAGAAGGTCCACTCCACGACCACCCTCAGTATGCAGCATTTAGGCCGCAAATCACTGTTCAATGCAATATACGTAGTTTACAGGAACCTTGTTTACATCAGTACCAAGGGTTAGCCCCACTACCTTCCCCACTTCATGGGGACGAGACATTTCAAATAAGGCCATTCATTGCTTATGCCATTTTATTCCGTTTATAGCTATCAGCAGGCCGATGAGTGCCGAGTTCACATTAAATAATTTCACAATTCACTTCCTGAAGGTGTGTTTTAATATGAGAAGTAAATACTTTTTGTTGCAAATTAAAGTGTTTGGCCTCTTATTGTTCGAGAGAACACGTGAGGCTGTACACCTAATTGTAGCCAACCCAGAGTACCTAATGTATTCTTTTTCAGTGTGCAGAATGGCTGTGACAAGTCAGGAAGTTCCATTCAGTGTAAGACAGGCGTACGAGATGGCCTTAACAGTCTCACGAGCAGGCTAAGATTAATGTGTGCTGTAAGTCTGTGGGTAAGCGTGTTTGTACTACCATCAACCAACTACAATGGCGGAGACTCCAGGGATCCCCCTTTATGCTGTTGGCCTATGACCACCATCGCTGCTCTACTGAACTGGCACTGGGCAAAACAACAGCTTCGTCCCAGGCCTGAGGTATCAGGAGGGGCGAAATGTCAACATCTACAGCCTGGACCAGAGCTCCCACATTAACATAATTTAAATATGTCATGAGGCTGTCTCTCCCAGTCTGTTGCGTGTACATTGGGTTTGTTTATATTTTAGAATTTTTGTTTTAATTATTGCAGAAATCACTCGCAACCTAATTTATGAAAATTTGAGGGTGGCAGAAGGTGGCTCGCAGTGAACGAGTCTAGCCTGACCCTATGAGGGGTGTGGGTAGCCATGCACGAATATGTAGTTCACAAAACACATTTTTACTGGAGTGAAAAAATACAGGATTTGCTTAAGTGTTATTAAAGCCCAAAAATTACAGAACACTTTAAACACTCACACTACATTCACAACACTTACACTGTGACACAAACAGTGAATGGAGAGGGTACATGAGGGGTTCTTTGAGAACTGTAACCACTGTGTCCCCATCGCTGCATTAATTTCCCAGTCGGCATTCTTACTGGGGATATCTCTTGGCAATATTGGTATGTCCGAATTATCATGCCCTCAAAAGATCTCTCTTGAGGGCATGAAAGTGGGATGGTCACCTGACTCTGGCCATACCCAGGTGGTCGCAGAGGAGTGGTGCACTCCAGTGCACTTCACTGGTGTAGGAGTCATAGAGGGGGTGACCGCCACGTTCGGACCGAATGTCCTCAGTGGAGGACACGTTGAAGCTGCGCTTTTGAAACTGGACGAACAGGCTAAGGGAGGAGGGACACAACACACGCCAGCCAAATTGTCATGCAGAAAACGAAATAGTACGAATCATCCATATTGACATGTTTTATGTGACATCATTATCTTGTAATAGGCTTAGATACCCATATCTGTACAGCCTACATCAGGCAGTCCATCGGAATGTCCCATGGTCAGGGCAGAAAATGACCGCCCACTACCAATGACATCCAACCCTCCAATCCCCGACCATGTGGCTGGGTATATAGTGTTATAAACTTCCATGTTGGTGCAGTGGATCTAATTAATTCAAGAAATTGAGAAAGCGTATTCAATAGCTTATTTCAGAAACCCCCTATCGACCAAAATATGCCAAATTGAGTTATCGGTACAGTAATTTTACTTGTATATAGACACATAGTTTAGTGCAGAAAGCTTATATATGAGATTCTCTAAAGGCTTCTTACAGCACCTTGAAACCCCTGTTTAGGACAGAAACTCCCTAACCACCATAACATATAGTGTTTCTGCAATAAAAAAAACCATACAGTCAACAAGTTGGCTGACATGAGTGCATTTTTATCAAGTTGTTTGTAATGTGCTATGATGTGTAGATGACTGCTGATATTAATAGCATATCTGTGTACTGTTGTGTTTTGCACTGGGCATTGTCCATGTTGTTATTGGTTATGTTTTAATATTAATAGGCATAAAAGAATATAATGAGCAGCAGCTCAGAAGAAAAACCTATTTCGAAATGTAGAAAAGGGATCACACATGAAGAAACCTATCAACGTAATGTAATACGCACAGCTAGTGTGAAAGGTGAAAGTTATACAACGTATAGAGGCAAACGTGTAGACAAGAAAACTGCTCCTGATTCAGTGACATGCAAATGCACAACCAAATGTTATTTACTTTTAAATGAAGAGAACATGCATTAAATTTGAAATCACTTCTACTCACTGAGCAAGAAAGATGCTCAAGATGCGCATCTTCAAAATTTGATTGGGGTTAGAGATGTCCAACATAGGCGCACACAAAACAAGCTTTCTCATGAAAAAAGTGAAAGACAGGATGGTGCAAAAGCAGATGACCAGAAAAGACAACCCATTTTCAAGAAAAATCATTCATTTACTTATAACCAGAGAGTGAATGTGCTTCAATGTGTTTGCAAAAACATCTTCATTCAAGAGCATCGTGTTTCAGTTGACAGATTACGTCGACTTTGTAACCTTCTAGTTAATCATAAAAGTCCTCATGACATACATGGAAAGAACTGTAGTGAGAATGTGATTCAGGGATATGTTTGTGTTAAAATACATGAGCATAAGGTTTGATGTGAAAAGCACACATTATGGAGGACAATGCAAGAAGTATTTAGACGCTCGACTCAGTGTTGATACCATGCATCATATGTTCGTAAACGAACATCCAGAGTTGCAAAATGTGGTGAAATATAATTTATATTATCACTGTTTTAAGAAAAACTTTGGAGATGCTTTTGGCACGCCACAGGTCGATGTTTGCAGCCAGTGTGAAAGCCTGAGTGGCAAAATGAAAGACCCACAGTTAAGCGAGAATGCCAAATGGAATGATGTCGCGGAAATGATAATAAACAAAAGAAGGGCCAAGAAATTATATACGACATTGAAAAGTGCATGTGAAAACCAGGATAGAGACACTTTCTCACTGTGTGTAGACTATAAGCAAAAGTTACCGCTACCTTTAATATTTATGCACGAGGTGTTTCATTTGCACCAGCAGTGGGTGTATGTATTTTACATACATGATTTAAAATCGGTCAAAGCAAAACTCTATGTGCATCATGAAGGAGAGGCAAACAAGTTCCCAAACAAAGTATGCTCTTTTTTATTGCATTATTATCAGAATTAAATATCAAGTTCTGTAAAGAAGCTTCTTTTGTTCAGTGACAGAGCAGCTGGACAAAATAAAAACCACACAATTGTGGGGTTTCTGTTAAATTTATGTGAGACAGGGAGGTTCGACGTGGTCCACCATTACTTCCCCATGCAAT